CCACCCCCCACCCCCACATTTTGCCCCAGAGGCCTTCACTGTTCTTCTCAACGGGAGGCTTTGTTGTAATTAAACCAGAGAAAAACTGGCCAGCAGCAGCCAACATCTGACTTGCGGCTTCTGAAAGCAGTTTTCTGGTAGAGTGTACCACCCCCCAGCGGGCAAAAACTCTACAGTAAATCTCTCAGCAATATTAACTGCATTTTCTCTTCATAGCATAAAAAGGGATGTTTCTTGGCTCCTTCTAACATTCCACCATTTCATAAATTTACCCAAAGTCAACAAACCAATTTCCAACAAAGATGGTTTGTAAACACCTTCTGAAAAAGCATTCTTCTTCTTAAACCAAAATAGGCATATACATATCAGAAAGTATTTTCCAGTTTCAAAATGCAGATCAAAATCATTAAATCTGGTTAAACATCATATTAAGGCGGTTTTTAAAGCCATGTTTTTGTGCAAGAGAGCTGGCTTAAGGACTTTGATTTATCTATTGAAAAGAACTCCAGAGAAAACAGATTTTAAGTAGAGAGGAATAAAATATAACTTAAGCAATAGCTAAAGTTTCATTTGCTTTGCATATGCATAATCTCTTTCCTACCCCAAAATCAAGTGTCAGGAATATATAAAAAGCTCTCTCCAGGTATTACTCTGTTTAAAAGAGAGAAGGGAGAAATTGCTCTCACTTGATGATACAATGACAGCTTTTGTTCTTTATTGTTTCACTTTACATGTGCACAAGTTACCGTGGCAACTTTGAAGAGAAAACCAGCAGACCACATTTAGTTAAACACTATTTTTAAAGTGTGCCACTGGACTGTGGATTGATCAGTTTATGTGTTGTTGATTTTCTTCCTCTTTATCTGGTTTAAATCAATAATACCCTACCCAGATATGAAAACAACAATGTGTTTTATAATTTCAAATGGTCTCACCAACCAGCACAGCGCTTGCCATACAATAGACTAAAAAAAAATTGTTGAACTAGGGTATGGAGACAAATATTAGACATTTAAAGCACATCAACCAAATTGTATTCACACACTGAAAAAAGGAATTTCAAGTTTGCAAAGGGAAAATGTTTTCAGTTTAACAAAATTAAGCACACTTTTAATTGTAATTGCTCAAAGTCAGCACAAACTTAAAGCATGCCCCCTGCCCCAAGCTCTCTACCACACACCATACCCTCACCACCCTCTAAATTAATATCTTATTCATTCTTACAGATCTTGGTTCTCTAATTCATTTAGTCTGGCTTTACCATCATAAAAGGAAGCAGCATTCACTATGATGAAAGATATCCTGGTTTGCCTTTTTGTTTTAAGGATGCTCGATTTAACTTTACAAACTAAAATATATGAAACAGAATTAGATGCGTTTATCACAAATCTGTTGAAGAAAAGAACCAGTGACATAAAAGGAGAAAGCAAAAATTCTGTGTTTTGGAACTTTTAACCCCTATTTTCCATAAATGAAACAAAACCTTCCTCAGGCTAGAAAATAGTCTGTATAAGACCAAGTATGAAAAGGCACACTTGCTTCTCTGCCTCTTAGCAAACCCATCAGACTTCATGACTCTCAAGAGGAGAGTTAGAGGTCCTTCTGCTTGCCTGGCATTAAACAAAAGAATTGGAACTTTCCTGAAATCTGATGATCGTGGAAAATTTAACCACCAGGCAGGCTGCATAGAAAGCATATTGCTGTCACTATCAACTAAACCTGATGTACTCCAGTTTTTCAGTTTAACCATGTATGTAGTTTATTTGAAATAGCATTTGTTGTTGCAAAGACTTAGAATTCACTGGTTGTTCATTCTGTTGAGTTTTCTAGCAGCAATTTAAGCTTCAAAATAAAATTACCTTCCTAATACTTGAGATTATAATTGTATAAATTCCAGTATACCTAGGTATATGCACAAACTTGGATAAATTTCATTAAAAAATGTGTTTTCTTCAATTTCAAGGTTTTACTCAAAATAACAATGGAGTTAACTGAATTAAAAGTTCTACATGACATTCTATTTTTAGAATTAATATTTTTAAAAGTTCCCAGTTGTAAGAAATCATTCTGTGAGGCAAATCATTAAAAAGAAACTAAAATCTCAAAACCTTATACTTGATTTAAGATTTTTT